GGCATTCTACAGAAAACAGAGCTCTGAAGGTGCAGCAGTAGATCAACTGTATTGCAAAAACAAAGAGATCTATCATGCTGCCTTGTTACTGCCCTCAGCTGCATGTGTCACTTTGTGTTTTTGTAGTATCTGATTACACTGTCATAGACAAAGAGATCCCTCAGGTAGCCTTTATCTTTATATTGTGCTTCTTGTGCAACATATCCACTACTTGTGGAAGTAAATCCATGTTTAGAAGCAGCCTTCCAGGAGCCTCCGCACTTGTGAGAGAATGCGAGTCCACATTGACCTCTGACAGTGCATTATGCAATCCCCTCCTGTGTTTGGGTTTCATTGAATGCAGAGAGCCAGCCTCAAATTCTGAATGTCTCTCATCTATGTACAGAGTGAAGGTAGACTATCTGGCTAGCCTCAAGCTCCACAGAAGCATAATGACAACACAGCAAAGCATCACCCCCATCACAGTGTTGTAAGCCCCATCAGTACAACTTGTCTGGACACAGGAAGAAAAGTAGTCCTCTGAGTTCAGCAATGGCTTTCTGAGCCACAGAGCTTGGACTGGCAGAGGGGGGGGGCTCTGTTAAAACAATAGTCCCATTGTTCCGCAACCAGTTCCTCGGGTACTGGATCCTGCAGCCACAGTGGAAGGGGTTCCCAGACAGTGAGACCTTTTTCAGACTAACCAGTCTGTGAAACTGGCCTAGAGACACTGAGGTAAGTTTATTATCCTGCATATGGAGCTCTGTGGTGTCTGAGGGCAGAGGAGGCAGCTCCATGAGGTTTAAAGCACTACAATTGACTTGAAGACCAGAAGACAGGAAGGCTGAACATAAGCAGGGTTGACCAATAGTGCATGTACTTGATGTGACCAAGATAAAGAAGACCGCTCAGATGGAGATCATCCTGCAAAATCAGGGAAACCTTTTTCTGTATTTGCAGTGGCATTGCATAATAATGGAAAAAAACATTATTGGAAAACTGAGAATGCTTCAGAAGATTCTTAAATTGCAGCACTCAGCAAGGTATTATCCTAAAATTAGGCCATGCACATAAGGCTGTGTTTTAGGACAAAGTTAACATTAAGCAAAACAGTCCATCTTCAGAATCTGAATTTGTTTATGCCAAAAGTGAATATACCTGTAGGGAGAACTAAATTAAATGTTCCTATGCAGCCTGAATCTGTAACAGTAAGTACTGAGATATGACCAAATGACAAAGGAAAAGTCTACTCCCCATCAAAATATTTAAAAGGAATACAAACCTTAGTGAGTCCAGCTGAATTAGTGTTCTTGTGGTGCCAGTCATCCTTAAAATAGTTATATAGTCATTGTTCTAGACCAATGTTGCTTCTGAGCTTGAGAGTATTTCAAAAGTTCTCCTGACCTCAAGGTATTCCTGTTCTGAAAAAGTATTAAATAATTGCACATTCAATATAGAACCATGTCAGTGTGAAGAACGCGCCGACTAAAACCGCACAGTTATGGCGCATTTGACATGATGGAAATCCATCTGCTTAAAGGAGATAAGCGCTGATTTTTTAAAAACAGCGGTGGAGGCTGTCTGAAGCTCTCCCTCCCAGCGTTTGTTACTGACATTCACTGCAGCTCAAAATATAGCTGGCTGCATGTACAGCTTTGTGTGGATTTGACTGTACCTACTGTAGGAGATATTTTTCTCAGCAAAATACTTAATGAGCTTAAGACCAAAACGAAAATGTTTCTTAATGGGAATTCTGTGCTACAAAGTAGAATGGGCATAGTGTACTGAGGCTGAATACCAGTAATCCAAGTAACGTCCACAGCAAGTCGAGTGGTAAGTGTTTGAACAATCATTTTCACTGGCTGACCCTTGGAGAAGTGATCAAATCTCAAAGATGATCTTTTTCATTTGATTGCACTTTGATGCATGCCCTCTAGTGGAAAGCATTGTTGGAGGCTGGAAGTAGAAGACTTGAGAGCCTAAAGGTAAGGTGCTAATGTGATATGTATTATACAAAAAAAAGAGGAGAACATTTTTTGTTAAGTCTCACTAACAGAAGACTGGTAAAAACAACACACGTGTACCATAAGTCATATTTGTTTATTTTGCGTTCTCGACATTGTCACAGTTGGAGGTTTTACAATAACTGGGGATCTTACTGACTCACTACTCACTGTACAAACAGAATGCACATATAAATGAGGCCATTCTGATCTTTTGTTTAAAAAAATTTCTCACACCAGACTGAACAGCTTGCAGCAGGATATGTGTATGTTTGTTTGTGTGTACAGTATGTACTGTATGTGTGTGTGTGGAGGGGGGGAGGGGTGCATGTATGAAAAAAAAAGCTGCATGTAAATGGTAGGGAACTTTCTAACAGTCTGTTTTTGATTTCCACAGCAAATGTGAATAGACAACAGCTGCAGGCAGAGACAATCGATATGTTCATATAACTCCCCTTACATCCATCTATGAGGTGACATATATACATCCTGGTCTTAACTGCAGATATCAGAATAGATTACTGATCATATACACATTATGTACAGTTCCATTAACCCCACGTCTTGGTCCCTTTCAGCTTCATAAAGACAAACCCTCCTAAAAAGAGGTTCATCAGTTTGCACATCAAAATCCCATATTTACATGATGAAAGCCCTCAGCAGCGGAAGTGCAGTGTTATTTATGAAATGCATGCTGAGCCTCAATAACTGCTGGCCTAACATGGGACAAGAACATATCAACACATCAGGAAATTCCAAACAAAGTCAAATATTATAGGAAGTCAAATATTATTGGCTGATCCCACCCAAGGCTCACAGTGAATAGGACACAATGCATCTGATCAGATCCGTGCAGTGCATTGTTGGGGTACTTTATCACAAACAATGACTAGACGTTTGCAGAAACATCCACCGAAATAAACAGGTTCCTCGGTTTTACATCATCCCAAGATTTCTGGATTCTAGTAAAAATATGAAACCAACCGAAAGACACATTCAACTGATCATTAATGTCCCATGTGAGATATACACGCCATCTGAACATTCTTCATTACTTCATATGAGGAGAGATGTGTAGGAAGAAGCCTGACTTATGGCAAAGGGTTTTCTCTGAAAGTTAAAATACATTTACAACCTGAATATTAGGACAAACAGTTTACTGTCACTATTATACACACTAGAATAGACTATTTGTAGAATGTAGAAAGTTATTCTTTACATATACCCATATACGTTTGTTCAGTTTGCATTTTGTATAACTGCATTACCTGAAAAAATGAAAGTGGTCTTTCATATGTGCTTATCCAGCTAAATATTTCTGTTCAGCCCTGTTCAGTTCCTCTTATTAAAATATATACACACATTTCTCTTTCTACTGTGAACTGTGTATTTATAGATTCTTAAATGAAAAAGTTTTTTTCCACCTGAATCTTGTCCTGGACAACAAGATAACAGACTTCCACTCGCAGTACAAGTCTGAACATGATTGCACTTAAACTTGCTATGGTAACACTGATTTGTTATACAATGTGCAGAGGATAACCTCACATCAAGAACATTACATGCAGAAGATCACTTACTAGACATTCCACTGAACTCCAAGTGTGCACCTCTCATCAGACCGCGAGGACAGCCACACAGCAATTTACTGAGAAAGACTGACAGGGGTCAAAAACAAAAATAAATAAATAAACGATGCCGTATGAAAAACACATAAATCGGAGGGAAAGATATTGCACATATGACAGAAAGGAGATGAAAAATTACTTCACTATGTATGAACTGATGTTACTCATTCACAAAATTTTGTTGGTGAATAAAAAAAATATATATATATATACACACTAAACAAGGCATAAGGAGAATTGAAAAGTGTTCCTGCTTTTGATTTCAGGAGTCAAAAGAGCAGCTGTTGCATAAGTTAAAAGGCAACAGACCCACCCATTTTTAACAAGGGTACTGAAACTCTTTTCCAGTTTAAGCAGCCACAGTATGAAAAGTAAACTGAGATTAGGACAACCAGCCAGCCTAGTTTATCACCCATGAGCACTAAAAGGAAAAGCCTGCTTTGAGGCATCAGCTGCGACCGCGCAGCCTTTTCGAGCCCGTATGCAACAGCTGCCACCCAGAGGCTCCTTCTGATCCATCTGAAAGCCAAGAATTCCAGAATGGATCATAGGTCGGACTGAATGGGAGTTCACTCCTTCCAAATCTACATCCTGTTACCACAGAGCCAGTATAATACTGATAGAATTCATTTTTGCTGATAATAATTGTAAGTATAATCTTACAAATTACTTTACGAACATTATACTGTACATGAAGTTTTGACTAAATAGATTATGCATTAATAATTGGCACATTTATTTATGGGAGCCAGGAGACAACACATATAGCTGTCATCTACAGTAAATACAGCACTAAAACTACTATGACTGAGAGGGTTGACTCAGTTGCTTACCTGGCCTTTGATAGTACGTGTGAAATGATGATATCTAGGTTCTTCACTACATACGAGCTCTATGGGAGGCAACAATAGCATTCATATGATGGCAGCATGTACATATGATCTGCAAACGTGACTTCTGAAAGGCTTTGCACAAGAAATGATGCCACCACAGTGACAGAGAAAACAATCAGCCATGTTCTTGTCTCAGGTCTTCTTTGCTCCTGATTATGTGAAAGTAAGAGGGAATGAAGCAGTGGGGTGCAGCTTGGTGAGAAAATAAATTTTCTCTTCAGCCATCATGGCTGAGCGGTGTGTGTGTGTGTCTGTGTGAAAAAACAAAGAGCATTTTCCCGTACGGAACCCCACCCCACAAAACTCTGATAGGGCCAAGCCCCTGAACCCATTATGAATCAGTAAAGGCCCCTGGTGGAAGATTACAGTCCGAATTCCATCCTGCTTATTAGCTGGATCTGGAGGTGAAAACGGTGTCTGCATGTGACTGATTCCCATCACAGCAGCAGTCAAACACAGTGGACAGGCCATAGTTAGGCTGTCAGTCCCTTTGGTGTAAGCAAGTGTGTCTTCTTCATTAAGGTCCCTCCTCACCTCTCCTCTGTGTCAAGAGCATCACACTACGGTGCTGATGCCACTGTGTTTGGGTTTGGGTCCTCCAGGTGCCGAACCCACCTGCTGACTGTGGTGGTGAGGAGCGTGCTGGGAGTGAGAGGAGTGATGGGAATGCTGGCTATAATGGCTGTGCTGTGAGTGGGTGTGTTGGTGTGCATGTGAGGTGTAGGCTGGATGCTGGTGGTACTGTGTGTGGGGAGGGGGGTGGTAGTGATGATGGTGGTGATAAGGTGGTGGGTTCTGTGGGACTTGGCAGTACTCGGAATGGTGACCTTGGAGTTGGGCCTGCACTGCATGTGCCACCTGTGCTGTGTGGTGCAGGTTGGTCGGGTGGGGCTTGTGGGATATGAGGGTGGGGTGACCGGGTGGAGGGAAAGGAGGATGGCCCTGGGATGACGGTTTGCCTCGCTTGCTGCCAAACAGTGACCCAAGGATGGAAGTCGATGCCGAGTTAGGGATGGAAGGATGGCCGCGTGGTGCGCCCTCACGTGGCGTGGTGGCTCTTCGGCGTGTGTGTGGACTGCTAATGATGGACCCCTAGAGGAGGGAGAAAAAAAACAAAAAAACACAATAGCATGCCCATCAGACACTGTGCAAGTGCTACTGCATAACAGCTACTAAACTACAGCTACAAGGCACCAGCAAGATGAATTCATAGCTGTCTTATTTCATTAGCAAAATGTTTTAGGGCATGCAAATGAGAAACTAAAAATGTTTTCATGATAGGCAGCAGCAACACTAGGAACATTTCAGCTTGGGCAAACACTTCATAATGTAAGGAGCCTATATTCTCAGCTGTGAAGGAGCCAACTGGCATGAAACTGTAAATCTGAAAGAGGAGTAGTTGCATAAATAGACCTGAACAAAGGTTGAAAGTACATTTCATCTCTATTGAAATCATACCGAACCCTCTAAGAGTCACACATGCAACTTGTTATAATCAATGGACGCATAGTTTCCACATGCAGAGGAAATGACAGGCAAACTTGTCATCCACACATTAGCCTTCAACTAGAAGTCAGAAGGCAGGAGGAACTAAGCTCTTGAGTGCAGACTTCACAACAGGCCTGGGCACTTTTCCCCCTTATTCTGATCCAACAATACTCACTATCCAGGTATGAATTTTCCTAAAAAAAAAAAAGACTTTTCCTTTTGCACATGCTTCATCTAAGACTACAGAAAGACTATAAGATGTCTTTGAAAGCAGAATGAAATTTTCAGGGTCCCAGCACGTGAACTCATGGACACATGAAATGGGTGAACGATGAATGAATGAAATCCACATCTTTATAAGTCCGCGTGAGGCCCATCTGTGGACCTCTGACTGTGAAGGCTATGTTCCTCTCTGTACCAAACAGCATTTTAGAGACGTTTTGGATAGGAGAAAAAATAAACCCGGACAGGGTGAGAAGCTGCAGCAGATGTATAGAATAAAACCTCACCACAGAGAACAACAACCAAATGAAAAGCTCTTGGATGTGATTGAATGAAAGACAGAGACGACAAGGGGAGGGATCAGACGAGGGATTAGTAGAGTCATGCTTGTTTGACGGTAAAGTGTATATTGGTCATATAACATAATCCAAACAGAAGATCTCTGACTTCCAAAAAAGGGGGCAGGATCAGAGGCAGGCAACCCATACATGCACACTAACTGAGGCAAGCAGGTTATAACGCATCCCAAGGAGAAAAATAAATGATCCAAACAAATGGACTGAGTCTATGAAGCAAAGAAGGTGTCAGACCAAAAAATAAATGGTGTGTTTTCACAGTGCACATCATCACATAGAGAGTAGCTTGGATACCAGCTGCTTCCAACTTACTTCCATATTGCTGTCTAGTGATCCTGCACTGCTGCGACGCCCCCGCTTGCCTGCCCGAGACATGCAATACCACAGATTAGAGATCGACAGCACTCCTGGATCGACTACAGATGTTTAGGCCGCCCACCAGTCTCTTCGGGGGCAGTGCAGTGGATTATGACTGTGAGTAAGGTCCAAATATGGGCAGGAAGGGGACAGGGCATTAAGGTCTGGTGAGGGTGGTGGGTGACAGGTGGTGCTGTGGCTAACTGTATAGTGAAGTCACATCTTCACTCAGATTGAACATTAAAGCTGCATTGAAATTTCAGTGATTTAGGTTCTAAAACGCACTTTGAACTTGTGGCTCAGTCCAGGAATACCTAAAATTTTGAATGCAGTTTCTCAACAAATATGGAGCAGAGAGTTGGAACGACCAAGAAAATGTCCACAGTAAAGGTTTACTAATGATCAGTGTTGATGCCTAAACAAATTTGTCTCTTAATTCTTGTTTTGATCAAATATGACAACCTGTTCTTAATGTTGCCACAATATTGTTACTGTAGATTTGCAGAAGGGTCGAAGTCTTTTTGACAGTCACAAAGGAGGAGACACATCAAAAGCAATACAGTGGTTGTTGCACATGGGATGTACAGGCATATACAGGTCTGAGGGTGAACAGAGCTCTCTGCTGCAGTTAGGCACACTCAGCCAATGATACATGACCAATAATCACACATACACAGGAAAGTCCCTGATATTGTATGTATGGAAATAACAGTAAATACACATGAAATGGGGTATGGCAGGAAAAAACAAAAAGAAAACACTTAACAAAAATGACTCCACTAACATGCCACATCCTGCATGGAAAAAAAAACACAGGAGCCAGGAGGGCAAAGGGACAGACGTCATCACTGTCTGACCTACAGTATCATCTCCCATTGAGGAAGTGATCATAAGACCCCTGACTGGATTTCACTTTGTTATCAAGGTAAAAATCATCCAGTAACTTCACATAGCTGTTATCTGTAATGAATGAAATGTAGTCTGGCTTCACAAATGCAGCGGCTGCATTAAACACCGATATTCATGGATGTGAAATGACTGCTAACACCAAGGCCGAAACTACATCTTGATCTTGTTGCTGCTTAAAAACAGTGAACAGCAGGGCTGGTTTATTTGGTTCACAGATATAAGTGAGAGGATATGCGACATGATTTTTGAATAAAACATAAGATGATAATGAAATGTCTTTGAATGAAACCAACTTAGGAATGCAAAAGTAATATGTTACAAATAAAGTGATGAGAAAAACATGAATGGTAATGTAAACTCATCCAAATGATTAGAGGTGACAACTGCCCATCAATTTCATTCACCACTGAAAAGACAGATCCAGAAAAATCTATTTTAACTTTCTTAACAATTAACCTCTTCTCAAATAGGTATTCAGCCTTTGAACTGTAAAACACCTCAAGTCTCTCTAAAACAAAGCAGTAGAGAAGAAAGGCAAACCACCTACACCAAACAATCCAACCACGAGTGAGTTAGATTAGTGGACTTAAAGGGAAGAACTCTAAGATCATCACACAGAGGTGGATGACAGAAGGAGAACCGGTTGGCAAAGGCAAAACCGTTCTGCTGTACCTGCTTCGGAGAGGTCTCGCAGGGAGCTGCTGAGGGCGCTCCTCTTCAGGCCCTCTCCCATGGCGTAAGTGTCGTCCAGACTAGCACGGTTCATGCTCCCGTTGCCAGATTCCTTCTTCAGACCAGAGCTCTGTGACATGCTAGGCCTCACCACCCCCTTCTGCTTCTCCAGCTCAGCTGTGGATAGGAGCCAAGAAAAGACCGAGGTAAAAGCCAGTGGTTTTACATCAACTCTGGCCAGAGAATGACTGTACAACTTGTGTGGAACTTATCCAGCCCCCATTTGCTGCCTGAAACTCCTGAACCTCCACTACATATCTACATAATTTCCAACATCCTGTTTTTGTATGTCTCACGGAACTCTCCTTTCAGATGTCCCCAAAAAAACTGCTCCCCCTTCGGTTAGTCATCCTGTAAACTCTGAACATTCTCTCAGAAACTGCTGCAATTGAGTAATATGGACCATGCCCTGTTTCTCCTTTACCCAGCCAGAGGCAGCCAGAGTAAAAATGGGATGGGATGAAAAAAAAACAAAAAACAAAACAGGCAGCTCACATTCTATTCTGTATTTCTCCATTTCCTGGACCTCGGCAATGGACTCGCGCAGGTCATCTGTGAACTTTTTGCGGTCCTGGGGGTTGGGCGCGTTAAAGTTGATGAGGACTTTGATGTCCGCACCCGGTATCGCTGACGTAAGTCTGATTCCATTCGGGTAATCTGTGGCAACAGCAAACAGAGAGGGACAGACATTTACACAAGAGCCATTGATCATAACCAAGTTTAAACACACTGGACGAATCTGTCTGAATTTGGGAGAGGATAAATAATGTCACAGCCCGTTGATCTGACTTCCCTTTCTTGCTGAATTTATTACAGGGCTAAATCAAATCCCCCTGTGATGTAAATACCGTCAGTCAACACGCTACAGAGAGACAAACTGAATAGAAGAAGACACCCTGTGGCACTTACACTGATTTTCAAACAGCATGACTTGCATCCCATACAGAGAGAAGGACTGTCTGAAACTGTATGTTACAGAGTTCTTTTTTTTCTGGAAAATCTTGGTTACCTGAAATAATGCAGAGAGAATATTATGAGGGCTGGTCTACAAAGAGAGGAGAAGAGAACAGAGGCGAGGAGAGAGCCTTTACCACTAGAAGGTCATTGAACAGGAAGATCTCCCGTTGATGCAGGCCCAGCTTCTGGAGCTTGTTGGGATCTGGTACTTCAAACAGGCGACAGTAACACACCAGCCGGCGGTGGGGCAGCGACAGCACCTAGAGGGCAGAAGAGAGAGCACAGAAAACAACACTTCAGAAGTCATTGTGACTTCAGACCACAAGGTAATAAGGAACAAAAGTCCCTTTTCCTCTGAGCAGAACTTAATGAAGATGTAGCCAAAGGATGAAAGAGTTACTCCTCCTATCTGTTTAACATTCTTCAAAACAGTTAACAGTAATTTATGGGGGAGAAGCGCTGACATTTTGGACGCTGCTGTTGAATAATTGAGTGTGTCCTACTGTATGAGAGGATACGTCTGGTGACCGTCTATATTTCTCTTTTGCCAAAAATGTCAGTGAATAGATTTTACTAAGTAGTGTTCGAAATGCACCTGCGAGCCACATCCTTCTTCCTTCATTACCATAAATATGGACACTGCATCTTATTTTGAGTGTATCCCATATACGCTGTCCTGCTGCTGTAAATACTCACCAGTGCACAAAAACCCACAGCTCAAAATAATCCCAAACACATGCACTATTTATACTCATGGTCGAGTAATGTTTGCTAAAACTACGCTGTTCATCTGTTTGATTAAAAAATAGTCATGGGCGATATGGAGCCCATGACAAAGTAGGAAAGTTAGAGACTAACGCACTGTTAAAATTTGGTCTTTGGATTTGTTGACAATAACATGAATATAAAATATTGTCAATATACTGAAAACATGTAATCCATTCTTTTACATGGTTCATAACCACAGCACATATCCTGAGATTAGAAGCATTTATATTCCAAAAAAATCAACACAGCAAAATTAAGGTTAAGTCTTCAGTAAAACTGGTGACTTGTAACAGAACACAGGAGTGAGGCTCCATGGGAGATAAATAACATGTAACCGATAACACATGATCAGGTGTCCTCACTTATAAAAACAGCTGGCGATCAACACTGAAAAACGAAGCCGAATGACGCTGGCATGTACTATCCCCAAAATACCATGTGACCAGCTGCAGACAAAAGCAAATGTTAAATTATCATCACTGTGCATTTTAAAATCGAACCAAATAAACAATATAGTTTTGTTTGTCATCATTTTTACCACATTAGTTTTGTTCCACCAATGACAGTTAACTGGTAACAGAGCATGAAGCATAAGATGCATTGCTATGTTTACCTTCCTCCTATTAAAGAGATAACCCACTGATGTAAACCGCTACATGGGTATCCCAAACTGTGATTTGTCCAGATGTACAAGAAAACAACAAGTACACAAATACTGTATGATAAGCACTGATCTGTTGCAAAAGAAGCAACCTTCCGTTAAAAAGTTTGCTAACTAATAATCTCCATATAAACAGGACAAAAGCAGTATGTTTTGTAACTAAGAGGCATCTGTGTTGCACATGCCCAACAGTGATGACCACACTGCCGAGCATAGAATCTGAAAACACTGCAGCTCAGTGCCACGTGAGGATTTATGGTTCTTTACAGCTGCCTGACTCTGTCTCAGGGGTACAACAGTGACTGCTCGTTTGTTCTGTGACAGATGTGATTCTGCAGGGAGCAAACGTTCCTGCTCCGAGTTAATCAGACTCTAAAAAGTACTGTACCTGTATGATGTGATTTAACTGCAGTATCCAGAGACAGAAGGCCATGCACATACACTACAATGATGAAAGACAAGTGGTCAAGTACAATATGATTTATGGACATGTAGCTTACTTACACATCCGAGGCCGTGATGGAGTGATCCGATCTGAAAAGAGAGAGGATAAAGTATATGTAGCTATTATGATGGGATTTGTTACACTTGCCTCTAACAACATTAAAATGTAACCTCTCCTACTTATTAATTATTAAAGACTGTACACCTATATCCTATTAAAGTGTCTCTGAAGATGCATGGACCTCCTGAGTTCTGTATACAGGGTGGCAAGTCTATTTGCTTCCAGACTTGATGGAGTCTGTAATGGTGTAGAAATGAAAGCTGATCTTCCTCTAGAAGCCCACTCTGTGCAACATTAGCAGACCTCATTATTATGGAGAGGAATTCCAATGTGTGTTTTTATGTTCAAGTGCTTTATTGAGTGTTCTTCTGGGCTTTTAATTCTGCAGCTAAACAAAGTCCACCATGCAAGACAAACCTCACCCTGAGGGTGTATAGGTTAATCACATTTCTAAATTTCACACACGAAAGGGACAACACAGCCTACAGAATAGTGTAGAAATGCCGTTTCTCTGCTCCTGAGGGGCTGGAGCACACTCAGAACTAAATCTGAAAATAGATCAATAATTAGTGAATAAGTGGTTTAACGCAATGTTTAACCAAACATTGCGAGCGCTGCAGTATTCAAGCACTGCAACTGCCTCTACCTCTAAAACTAGTTAGGGACTACAGTGTTTTAAGGTGGCAGCAAATAGCCATTTTTCATCCGACTGCAGCACTGGGTGATGGGTGTGTTAAAATCGCCAGCGTGAAGGTCTAAGCTTAGATGCGAGTCCCTACACCCACAGCACCTAAAGTTACAAAATACTGAGATTTTCTTAATCTCTCTGTGCCTTTTATAGCTTAAAACTGTCAACATTTGAGGTTAGAAAATCAGGACTACAATGAACTGTTATTTCTAGAAGGTGATTCTAGGCAGAAATAGCCGCATGAGTGGAATATTCAATACTATGTACATTTTACGAACCAAAGATGCCTCAGAGACTAAAGTCACACCTTGCCATAATAATGATAAATAAGAAATTCAACTGTTATTTTAGTGAATTTTGATAGTAAATATTACTCACGGGTTTCTTTCCCACAATGAGCTTCTCAACCTTCTGCACCTGTGAGACGTGGTCTTCATTGGTCTTGAGCTCTCGCTTACGAATCCTCTCATAGATGCCAACCAGAGTCTCCCTGGGTATGTCCTCTCCATCGTCCACACCTTGAACAGAGTGAATAACTGAGTTACCATGTGTACAGTAAGTCAGTGGTTGTATTAAAACACAATTGCTGTGTCAATAGATCAGAATTGGAAAAACAGGAAATGGTTTAATTTGAAAATAGGAAAGAGAGGGAGAAGAAAGGAGGGAGACAAATTACAACATGTTAAGTGAAATTTTGAAGTTTATAAAAATGTTAAATGACCTGGTGTCTTAGGTCAGACTTATGAGCACTTTTAAAAATATCAGTCAACATATTCACAAATGAAATTATATTACCTCTTAAATTCTTGATAAAGTCCTCCAGCTTCATCTTCCTCTCAGGCTTGACGTTGGGGCTGTACATGTCGGTGTTGAGGAGGATGATGGCAAAGGCCAGGATGAAGATGGTGTCAGGGTTCCTGAACTGCCGCACCACAGTGGGGTTACAGATGCAGTAGCGCTGGCTGGAGGCACAAGGAGTGAAAGAAATATGACCCACCAGAGCATGCAACCACACTTAGATTACAAAACTCGCACAAGGAAACTGGTGAGGAACTGTTTTCAACTCCGCCCACAGAAAGGAGAAGTGATGCAAAAACTGTCTTTTATGTAACAATAATTATCTAGACAACACAACTGTGAGCAACACCAGCAGCAGTAACTTGAAAAATCAATAAAGGTTTACATAAAATGCTGCCAGTGTGTTCTGATCACAAAGCATTAATACACAATGTGTTCTTGTACTGTCTAGTTTGTTTATTATAATAGATAGATAAATATTTTATTGATCCCAAGGGAAATTCAAGTATCTAGTAGCAACAGCAAAGATTACCAAAACCACAGCACCCAAAGTAAAGAAATGTATAATGATATGTCAGCCTAAATGAATCCACTCCACCTAGTCACAGTAACTGTCACATCCCTCGAAACACAGGCCGAGGTGGTGGCGTGGCAGCGATCTTTGACTCAAGCCTATTAATCAACCCTAGACCTAAACATAGTTATAACTCATTTGAATGTCTCACCCTGAGTCTCTCACACCCAAACTGGAAAACTCAAAAGACTGTTCTATTTGTTATTGTATACCGTCCACCTTACCTGAAGGCTTCGATGAGCCGCTCCACCTTCTGGGCCTCACCCTGGACACGGATGTGGTTCTGAAATTTCCTGAGAGCCTCGTCCAGCTCCATTCCCTGGAAGTCCATTTCATCTACTACACAGCTGGTACATAAGGGGACAGATGGAGAATATTTTTGTGCTCATCACCAATCGTTTTATCTTACAGGCCTTATTGTTGGTCTAGATTCTATTACAGAGGATATATCAGTGTTAGCAGCTTTAATTAGTTTTGTAATTTGCACAAAACAGGGGTCCTGGACTTACATATGCTTACACAGATTTTTATTTTAATAATTCTGATCTTTCCTCTGATCACATTTATACCTCATTTTAGGGAAGATGATACTTACTCTAAGACATCTCTGTTGAACTGTTTCTGTCGGTTTCCAAGGAATTCTCCAATCATCTGCCTGCTCAGCCCCTTCCTCTGCAGAAGGAAGTGAGCTACACCGACCGGTGTGTCAGGGATGAATCCCCTCTCAGTCAGATACTGGATGCCTTTCTCTGGCTTTCTGAAACATTCAACATGGATGGATTATTTTAAAACATTTGAATGAAGTGCCTTGGTGGTTATGGTTAAGGTTAGGATATGTCTACAGGAAACGAATGTAAGTCAATGTAAAGTCCCCACAAGAAATGAAAACACAGCATGTGTGTGTGTGTTTGAGTGTATACACACAGTAGGTAAGGTACAGCAGTGATGGCATTTTTCATTTTCTATTAGCTGTACATTGAGCCATCCATCCATCATCTATATTGCTTATCCCAACTCACAATGGGCGTGAGGCGGGGTCCACCCTGGACAGGTCGCCAGTCTATCACAGGGCTGACATGTAGACAAACAACCACACATACACTCACTCACACCCACTGGGCAATTTAGAGTCACCAATCAACCTAAGCTACATGTCTTTGGACTGTGGGAGAGAACCTACGCAGGCACAGGAAGAACATGCAAACTCCCCACAGAAATGCACCGGGTCGGCCAGGGCTTCAACCTGGAACCTTCTTGCTGTGGGATGACATTGCTCTGTACATTGGGCTCCCATATTAAATTGAAGAATAGACGCATGCAAACAGATGTAGAGTGAAACATTTAAATTACCGCCCTAACACAAAAACAGTATCTCCAAGTCTCATAAAAGACAATGAATTGCAAAAAAAAATCAGTGTAGTCAGTGTCTTCTGAATTTCTTCAGCCATGCAAGTATCTTTCAAAATACCTTTGAATTTGATACTGATACAACTGACTACACTTAACAATGCAACAAGCAGTGAGTGTAGAGCAGAATGAATGACTTTCCAAGAGGCTCCTCTCATATCTTCTCCCCTCACTGAGACAATAATTGCTGCAAATACCCACCCGCCCTCTATAACTGGCTCCTGGACTTTCTGACTGGCAGGCCCCAGACTGTCAGGATTGGCAATAGGATTTCAGTCAGCATTGTTACAAACACTGGTGCCCCACAGGGATGTGTCCTCAGTCCCATCCTCTACACCATTTTCACCCACAACTGTGTCGCCTCCCACAAAGACAACATCATCCTGAAGTTCGCGGACGACACCGCAGTGATTGGTCGGATCACTGGCGGGGACGAAGTAGCCTACAGAAGGGAGGTGGTCAGTCTGGTGTCATGGTGCAAGGACAATAATCTCAGCCTTAACACGGACAAGACGAAGGAGATGATAGTGGACATGAGGAAGGAGAGGAGAAATCATCGCCTGCCGTTCATCCGGGGGCTCGAAGTGGAGAGGGTGAGCAGCTTCAAATACCTGGGTGTCCACATCAGTGAGGACCTCACTTGGACACATAACACCACACAGCTGGTCAAGAAGGCCCAATGGCGGCTGTACTTCCTGAGGAGGCTGAGGAGGTTTGGCATGTTGCCTAGGATCCTCATCAACCTCTACAGCTGCATCGTGGAGAGCATCTTGACCAGCTGCATCACTGTCTGGTATGGCAGCACTACTGCTATGGACTGCAAGCACCTGCAGAGTGGTAAAGACTGTGGAGAAGATCACCAGGACTCCACTGCCTTCTCTGCAGAGCATTTACCACCGTAGGGTGTGTAGGAAGGCTGCCTCCATCCTCAAAGATCCAACCCACCCCCAGCACGGACTGTTCACTTCTTTGCCCTCTGGCCAGAGGTTCAAAAGTGTGAAATGCAGGACCACTAGACTGAAAAACTCTTTCTTTCCCTCTGCCATCAGACTCCTAAACAGCTGAGGAGTTTATTACCAGGAAATACGTGATGTACTGTTTACATTCTGTTTGCACATACATAATTCCACAGTGACTGTTGACTGCTGCACATTCTGTTATATTCTTTTATTGTATGCTGCCTAAAGTGTCCTAGATTTTGTTACATGCATAATTGCACAACGACTCTGCTGCACATGGTGCTCCCATGCAGCATACATTCTGTTATATTCTTGTATATTTTTTTTCTACTATATTGCTACATCTGTGCTGCTTAAAGTGCCTTAGATTTTGTGTTCTTTATTTATCTACTTTATATTTCATTTGTATTTTGTGGCATTCAGGTGGACGGCAAAGTAAGAATTTCATTGTACAGGGAAACACGTATCCTAACTGTGCATATGACAAAATAAACACTTTGAACTTTGAAATACAGCGGCCAAGCAACTGGTCCAACACAGAGGAGTACCTACTTGTTGAAGAGATTCAGGCCGATGCGGTAGTGCCTCTTGCGAATAACATCATTACTGAAGATAGGCGAGTCCCAGCTGTTGCGAGTCTCTTTATGGTAAGTCTGCTTGCTGAGTGTCTGCTCTCGCAGGCTGTCTCTTGACGAAGACTCGGAGCTGCAGTTGATGGTGTCATTGGAGTTGGATGTGCTGTTGATGCTGTCGTTGTCCCCATCAGAGAAGTCAGACTCCGATTTGCTCTGCCTGTTAGCTGAGCCATTGATTGCTAGGTGGCTTTCCAGCTGGCGATGGCGTAAAGGTGCATCATCGTCACGGGAGGGAGCTCGTGGTGGGGGTCCGTGAGAAATGTGTTTAGGGCTAGCCTGCGATGACGTTACAATGTGGCCGTGTGGTTCATACACATGAGGCCGTTTGACAGAGCCTCGTTCAGACCGGTCACTGAGCTCTGCAGAGCTGTCACTAGGGGGCTCGATGGTCAACAAAGGAAGATGGTCTATTCTAAGACGTTGCTCTTGGCATTCCAGAGACGGAGTGCTGCGGCAGCTTGTGTCTGTATCACGACCCTCATCTTTAGTGTCAATAGGCCAGTACTCCTGGGAGGAGTTGACTGACCGCAAACGCAAGTCTGATTCTGTGCTGGAGGGCTGGTCCCCTGACCTCAACAGAGCAATAGAAGGGGGCATGTCCTCCTCGTCGATGAATAGAGTAACATCGCTATAAGATGCCATCGTTTCATCGTGCAAGCGTTCAGCTGCCCTGCGATGGGACTTCACCTGATAGGGCATTTCCCTCTCCACCTCGGAGCAGCCCATAGCCTCTGGGTCAGGACCCTCATCCCCCTGAAGGCTGCGACAGTTCAGTGCATCATCTATCGACTCAGCCAGAGATTTGACCTGCCGGGAAAAGGCATCCTCCAGCTCCGTGATGGCATCTGTCAAGTCACCCTGTGGGGCTGGGTGAGATGCCATGTTGGCCTGCTGGTTGACCGCTATATCTCCACATTCAGACTGCACCATGGACAGCGGGGTGCCATCCTCCGTCATAGACACCTGCCTCCCTTCGAAATAAGAGCTGTGCACTTTTTCAGGGCCCTCAAATGAGAGCTGCATCCTCATGTTGGAGAGAACGATGCGTCTGGACATCCGGTTCTCAGACATAGAACTCCTGAGACGTTCAAAGTTCTTGTTCATTTGATACTGGCGGAAGGCTGTTTGAATGGTGCGGGCGGCATGTCGAGTTATGAATCGTCCACCATATTTACGCTCCAGCATCTCCACCTAGAGAGAAAACCAAGTAAATTAACTGTGAAACAGTGCCACACATTGAATATTCAATTGGTTTTCTTAGCTGTAGATGGTCTATAACATCATCCAACAATAAAATTTCCCTGGTTAATAATATCACACAGCTGGGTTTCTGATAAGCAACCTACACACAATTCATAATGTTTCAAAAATTACACATAATTCTTTTAATCTTTGTGGTGTTATGAGAGTGTGAGAAACCTACTCCAAAACAAACTATTCAGCAAGGCGACTCGGGAGTACCTGCTTATCCTGGAGGTCAGCGGAGAGCTCATAGCTCTCAGAGAGCGAGCGTGACCGCTTGATGGCCTCCTCCTCAGCCTGCTTACGGAGAATGGACTGTGAGTGCTGGAGTTTGGGCCGACGGGGCCTCTGAGGTCCAGGCTGGACCCCGTGGCTGTAAAGTGGGCTGTCAAATCGGTCGGGGCTGATGGCTGAACCGTGAGTTACAGGGCCCTGGCCATAGCTGGCTCCACCATCCAGGGAAGGGCCACTCTCATTGGACCGTCCATCCCCTTCCACACTGCAATGAGAGCAAACAGATGGTTATACAGTTTGTCTTGTTGAAAATAAAGTAAGGTGATGCAAATTCAGTTTTTGAGTCAGAGTATAACTGAAGTATTATCAGGTTAATCACATTGTTTCTGATGATCCATTTGAAATGTCACAGTAGAGAGACTTCAGGGACTTATGGCAAAAACCTTTATTAAGTCTTGAAATCACTAGTCTGTGTTATATAATTTACAAATAAGTGTGGCATTATAAAAGTGAATTATAATGTCAAACCTGAGTGAGTAACTGTTTCTGGAATGTGCTGATTCTATAGCCTTAAGTTACACAGTAGAAGCCACAATTCATTCAACTGTAACCCGTCATAGTTACAGTCTGCCACAGATTTTGCCATGCTACATTAAGAAAATACAAATGCCACGTCAACACTCACCAAATATTTCACACATTCAGTCATCTGTTGTCCTCATGGAATTACCTCTTATACAATTAATATGAAAAAACCAAGAGGGTACTCACTCACGCTTACATTCTGCCAAATTACGAGATGACCGCTTGTTGCGAAAAGACCGTCTAATTTCTATAAAGTGCCAACTCTTCCTCCATATCTTGTCCACCATTCTTTCAGTCTACTTAAGTCGAGAGTACACAGGTTCCTCAGGGAAACTACAGGTTATGCCACCTTAAGAGCCAATCAGCGACCAACAGGAGTTGCATCATGTTTGCCAGACTGATGGCAAACTGTTCCAAAACATGTTACAAAGTCCAGACAGAGCAAATACAGCTTCAGCGGTCCTGTAAAAATAGCGGAGATGAGAGTGAATGTCTTGTCCATCTGCTCGATAAACAAACATTACACTAACCAACATTTCCTCCCCTGCACAGTACATGGTATTCACCGTTCACTGGCAGCCTAAAGTGTGTGTGAGCCGTGACTTGACACACCCATTCAGTGTACACAGTCTACTTCCTTCATTTGACAGCCTCAAATCAACATTCATCAGCAACAGTTTGCCAACCAACAGCAAACAGCGCTGAGTGAAAAAGTGGTTCTGAATATGGTCATCTGTAAAGTCTGTATTGTGACTATATTAATAAAGTTGGGCTCTTAACTGAATATAGCTTAAATTTACTGATTTACAACTGCACTCACACAGCATCAAAATGTTCACAAAACATATTCAGGCAGATCTGAGCCTATGATTGCTCATAGAGTAGTAGGACATTCAGTGATTATAGGTGTTTCTCTCAGATTCATACGTGAGTCAGTCTGCATCTCTGCAAGGGCTAAAGACACTTTAGCTTTAAAAAAGCTCGTTTCCAAAAAGGCACTTTTTTCCAACCAAACACTGAGTGTGAAATATTAAAACATGTTGGTTGAATCTGGCTGCCAAACTACCCCCAGTTATGGTTACGATCCACAGCATCCAGTAAATGTTTAGTCTGGCTCTAAAAGCCAAGATGGTGATTGGATTCAAACTGAAACATTAGGTTTTCAAGTAGCACCGGTGTTTATTTTCACCAACTCCTGCAGCAGAGTGAATTCTTGTGCATCACATTAAGTGGCCTCCATCCCTTCTGTCAGGGAGGAGATGACCCATTCAGGGTCAGCCAAGGCCACTGGGACAACTTCAGGGTAAGTAAATGTTAAATGACTCCCTCTGGACAATAGGTACACAGAGTACTACAGAGTGGACCAGGACACACACACACACACACACACACACACACACACACAGTTGGACACCTTGTACAACACGCCGATAATGATACTTCACCGGGACAAATGTGTGCAACCATCTGTTGTGGCAAACTATGAAGTCGCTATCCCCGGATTAAAAAGTCACACCTTGTGTGTTGTTACAGCACCAGTTGTGGTCATTTTTGTTCTGTGATTTCTTCATTAGTAATCATGAAAAGAGGCATGTGATTACTGCAGTATATTCATATTTAAAATTGTTTGGTATTTTTTAGTCAGATAGAAATTGGTTAGATACTTGTTGTATTAGAAATGTTTAGTGGAGACAGGATGTCTAGGTAGACTGTTAAATGCTTAGTCATTCTCATGAGTTTTTAGCAGGGTGCATATGGTCAAGGATAACTAGATAGAAAAAGTTTGATTGTCAGCAGGCAGGATGAAAGCCCATATGTCTCCAGACAAATGAACATGTACAATTGAAGAAGCAAATTAATAGAAATGTGTGTAACTGAAAATATGTGACACACTGCAAATTTAAGAAAATCTCAAGGACCCATTTCAAGGAAACAATTATGACAACATATAAAGTCACATTGAGGCACTTCTATAGTGGCGATAAGTTTGGCTTTAGCCATTGATGCCCAGTAGGTTGTATGTGTTCAGTTTGTAGTTTGTATTTTTAGTCATGCTAGTGACAAATGTCCACTTGTTGGTCAGTCAGTGCACCACTTTGATCCTGACTGAAACATCTCAGCCACCGAGGTAAGACTCGCAGCAAATGTCTCAACAACCATTGGAAATTTGAGGATGGACTATAATAACTTTGGTGATCTTATGACTTCTATCCAGCGCTATCATCAGTGTCAGAACTTTTTACATGATCCGTAATAAATTTCAATTATAGTCAGAATTCTTAAGAATCGTGTTATATCAGAATGAAGCAATCATGGCTGCTGCGCAACTGCTTCCTGACAGTGACTGTACAGCCCTTGAAATATGATCTCACTATAACAGCAGTGGTGTCTGTCCCTCCGTCTGGCTCTTTATCCACCAGGAGCCCCCTGTTAGTTCTGATGTGGGCATGGATAAGCATGTCAGCTCAGCTGGCAGTGATTTTGAGCCATGAGATCCAGGAGGGGGTGGGTTGGTCGACCCCCTTCCCTCTCAACACATCCTGAACAAACAAGCCCAGGCCCCTATCCAGGCCTCAACCTATTCCACCAGTCGGACCTGAGGGAGAAACATTCCTCCATCCCGGAAAAGACGAGTCACATCTACAGGAGTTCTGGGAATAGAAGAAGGCTAATGAGGTGCAGGCTGGCGCTGGAGAGAAGGAGAGAGCTGCAGTGTGGAACCACCGTAGCTCCCAAACACAGTCACTGAGACGCCAGAGAAGTCTACAAATGTGTTTGCATATCACTCCAATCAACTTCAAATTCTGTTTTAGCATGTGGTTTTTATCAAATTTAAAGAAAACATAATTCCCCATTCAGTTGCGAGCCCTAGTAATAATCCCTTTCCACAAGCAACGTGCTGACATGCACAACAGTTGCATGTTTAGTCTTCAAGTTTGACATTAATCTGAATTTGTAAGCATTTATGTAAACATGGAATTAAATAGCCTTTTTCAGGTTAAAGGAAAAAGAATAGTTAAGACAGTGTGGCTAAATGTCTTTTTAACCAACTCATGGGATGGCTTCTTTAAGAGTGAGCACGTACAGAGAAACGATCTTGATTTGTGTAAGTCACCTCATGTATGTGTGAAAGTAACGCAAGAGCAAAACATTACAAGCTGTTGTATCTACAGCAGTGAACTGCAGAACAAACATGTCTGCTAAGTAAAGATCTGCTCTATAAAGTTAAATGGTTTTAAATGAGGGGGTACAAGGGGAAATCTCTTTCATTGCTCAACTTCAAAAGAGTGGTTAAGATGAAATATGAATAATAACATTCATGGAGAACAAGTAAGTGCATAATTAGATTCCTTGCCTTAACCTTATCATTTACAGAAATCTGTTTGTGTGGTTGTGTAAACAGGCAGTAAACGGACCCTTCCAATAAAACCAAACAGTGCTGCTATATCACAGCTCTTACCCCACATGCACCGACAACATGTGCTCCAAACACAACAAAAGCAGATGCTCACTCACTCTCTCTTTATAGCAGCTCAGAGAGCTCCCAAGTACAGATGTGTGCACCAGCCCCAACAACACAGATGTGAAGGAATAGATTTTTCAGGTAAAAGGTTACGAGACCACACAGTAACACATTAATGAAGTCCAGCATTGAAGAGTAAACCTGCCAGTGAACACTCAGATGTATCGTTTCTGCTCCAGTGACCATGGTAATGGATGATTTTGTACAGCTATAAAAAGACAGTGAGTAGCAGGCTGGAGATTTACAGTTTGACACAGCTGCAAACTGGAAAGCTTCAATGGCTGGCAGTCTGACAGCATCACCCTTGAGAGTTTGCAGCAGACAGTATATAAGCCTCACAAGACTCACTGCTGAGTCACGGTTACTACTGTAAGCTGTATACTTCAGAGTTGGAGGATTTGGGCATCTTTACAAATAAGAAACTCTCATCTCACAACTAATTCAAACTGGCCAGCTGCGCATCAGTTACCAAAGTACGGTCACCCAACTGATACAACAATTCTGCTGCAGTACTCACTGTATTAAATGTGTCTGTGTGTACAGTCTGCTCAGTGGCTTCAATCTGCATGTAACTGTTTTAGGTTACCTTTAGAGCTGCAATCACACCTTATTGCAGGTGATAAATATTTTCACAAATGTCTGTGACCAAATTTTTACTACATCAACTGCTGATTATTGATTGCTATGGTTTTTATCAGTGCTAATGAGCTGACTCATAATCAAGTTGCACAAATCAAATTTTCAAGGTGATTTAAAATAAAAGCTTTATTAGCGTAGCGCAGATGCAGCAAATTAAAACATACTCCACTGCAAGTGTGATGAATAGTTGATTGATGTTTTGTTGATGTCATCAGAACATAAATCAATACTATTCCCCCATTAACTGCCAGACCTGATTCTGTCTAAACCAAGGCATGACCTCCTCTTCCCTCTTGTCAAGACTTAACAACAAAAACTACTACAGAGCCACTGTCACTGTAATAAATGAATAAACTCTCCTCTACGCTAGACCCAGCATATCTCCTTGAAGATCCAGCTGTGAAACAGGCGTCACGGCCAGTGAGCCGGAGGGCCACGGCGCGCCACAGCAGCGCCCTTCAGACAGCAAGGGCTGGACAATCTGAATTACAGATGGATTCTGTACAGTAAGACCAAAC